GTGATTCAGCTCTGCTACAGAATGTCTGTAGCAATAATTCGGTTCGGCGTTCGTAATTCGGCGCCCGATGCTCAACAGCGCGTTCAGTGGCAACGTGGATACGGTGTAACTAACTCCACGTGTTGAGAAATCGTTCACATTATGCCAGTCAGCTACTTTCCCTTGGTAGAATTGTAACCTTAGCATTTTTTTCTACTTTCCCACCTACCCTTTACTCTCCCGACAGCGTTTTGTGGACTGAGAAATAACAGAAAGTAGGTTTCAGCAGCGGACTTGTCCATGGGGTACCCCCCAGGAGGCCCGTCGCGCGGCAAAAAGGCAAAGTCAGCGGACGAGTTCGCGCGCGCACTATAGGGATTTCGTCATGTTAAAAGAGTGTCCCCATTGCAACGTCCTACATCGCACATCACGCGCTGCAACTCGTCCGACGACTCTGCCTTCTTGCCGCGCGACGGACCTCCTGGGGGATTACCCGCGACATTGTTACATCGTCTCATGCTCAGCCGAAATTCGTTGAACCCGCACTCAAACACTACGCACAAACAATAGGAATGAGCGTAAATCAGAAAGTTGGTGTTCTATCCCTTCGGGAGTGAGGAAACATTGAACACCTTTTTGAATATTTGGTGTTTAAATGTTTAGATCACGTATTATTCGTCTTTTTCATGATTTAGCAAAAGAGCAGCCTTCAGGTAACCTGCCAACGATGCAGCATGACCATACCGGCTCACACACCATTCTATGATGTTGGCCATGAGCCGAAGTGCAAGGATTGCTGTATTGTGGGTTTTACGAGATTTTTATTGGAATTAAGGGATTTTCAAATGGTAACCGAATTTTGCTGTAAATTTAGTTGATTGGTAATGTATACATACAGTACAACCAGTATACCTCAAAAAGTGTTACGTGCTCTAGTGCCATAGCAAAGTAGTTGAAAATGGCTGACGTAAAAGGTGAGCGAGATGGCTCGGGAAGGTGCGATTTGAGCAAATCGAGCTGTGATTGAGTTGAGGAGACCGCGAGCCAGTCCAAACAAAAGGAAGTCAGAATAGTATAACAAATATATCATAAAAAGGGCGGAAGTGGTGTAGTGACAAGTGGCGCGCTCACCACGCGAGCGGTCCGGGATCAAATCCTGGGTCGTGAGTCGCCCGGGCCAACCAAGCCTTCCATCCCTCCGGGGTCGGTTAATTGGTACCAGACTTGTCTGGGAGGATAAAAAACACTGACTTGAACATCGGCTGGCCCCCGCAAGTCATTGTATAGGCCACATCGCATTCAAACGCCACTACGAATGTACAAATGGAAGTAGAATAGAATGCGTGCCGCATCCCAAAAAGGGATTGATCAACGGCAAATGCTTTATCCTTTATTTTATTAAAAACCAAATTTGAATGATGCTTAAATGAAACAAGGAACGCTTATCCTCTCCGGGATGATGAGAACTGGAAAAGAACTCACTGAAACTTTCCTTTTCAGGCAGACGGCACCAGAGCAACTCCAATGATCTGTGCGAAACCGGTAGGTCCACATTGGTGCTTCAAATGGACTGAAGGTTGTTTTGAGCTCAGCAGTTATTCAGAAGGACCCCTTAATCAGAAACATTCTTGTTTTTAATCTTGAGGTCCCTTTGACCCCACTATAAAGTTACTCGCCGTTAGAAGTTTTTGCATGACGTCAAGCATACTCTTGACTTAATATACGGGGCTCTTGAGGACACTTAGTTTCATGACGGCGTCGGTGCTTCATTTCGTTACTCACTCAGGGTTTCCATCAATAAAAAAGTTTTTTTAGGTATCCTGCAAGAAGTGCAACAAAGAAATACTACCTGGTACCGCGTTCTACGATGTTGACCACGCTCCGAAGTGCACGGACTGCTGCATAGTGCGTCGTTCTCCTCTAGAAACTACTACGAGAATATCATTTTTGGAGTTTCCGTGAGCATTTCCCCGTGTGCTGCCACGGTCTATTTTGATCAACGCCCGCTTGAGCTTGTTTGGTGATTCTGGGCAAAAAAATGTGTGAGGTATCAAAAAGCTGGGATCTGAGGATTTACCTATTTTGTTTTTACTCTCGGAAATACTGGTGGCGGTCCCCATCTTGATTCTGATTAGCTTTGAAGTACATTCCACACTGGAGCTAGACTAGGAACGATACGACCTCATCATGGTCGTCTACTTTTGAGATGTGAGAAGAAGGGTTCAAAAATGAGAGCAATGTAGTATGTGCCCTTAAAAGAGGAAGAACAGGTATTGCTTCCACATTTATATATCCTATCCGAATCGATCCTTTCAGGCAGACGGTACGAAGCTTTCTCCAGTGACTGCTCAGAAAGGGGTATGTTTTGGCCAATAGGCCGCCCGTAATTTTGCCATCTTTTCTTTTCTCACTCTTGCCTTGAGACATTTCTTTTATTTAGTCGTTCCTTACTCACTGATGTGCCTCGGGGTTGACAAAATATACTTTTCGACTGATGCAAGAGGCGAAACGGACCACAGTTGTACTTGCATGATGCATTTTCTTATTACAACAACATCTTCTCCTTTATTGATTGAATGAAATAATCAACTGCTCATAATCAGCATCAGCTGTACTGGTTGGGCAGAACAGATAGAAGCTGAATTGTTCTGCAGAAGTTTTCTATCCAACCCTAGCAAAAGAGCAGACTTTGGTGCGCACAATGAAACAATTTCTAGCTCCCCTTCATTATCACGCGATACTTCACAGCAGATGAGGCTGTTACAGTATCAAAGCGAGGGATTGCGATAAGATGGTCAAATTTACAGTGGAAGTGGGATGCTGAGTAAAGCGCCAGTGGTGGAAGAAGCAAAGAAATCTGTCAGGAACGCACAAAATTGAACCTCTTAATCGCCCGTTGGAATATTTAGCCTGCGACAGTGAGAGAGCTAGCAACGGAATAAACGGTCGTTCGCACGTGGAATCCAATACCCTCGCCTGCCAACAAACGCCATGCTTTGGCGGATAACATTTTCGCAGAAAGACTACTTTGAACGAAATACTTTTCAAAATGATAATCGAAGGATGCTGCTTCTGACAGCACTTCTGGACGGAGCACAGACGGAGGCGGAGCACAGAAGGATTGGCAGATCCCAGTGCGCTGAAATAAGCTCACCTTTGGTCACGCAAAGGCCACGTCTTTCTTCGTTCGACCCCAAGCTACTGCTTCCACTGGTGTATTTACTTTCTTGCCTTCGTCGTAATCCCTCGCTTTAATGTTCTTTCAAGATGCATAATTTTTTAGTAACACCTCCACTTATACAGTTCGTACTAGCGGGACTTCCTTTCCTTGTCGTATCATAGGATGTTAAGCTCTGTGAATCGTACTTTCTCTTCCATTTTTTGAGAACCTCTGCTCAGGTGACCTGTCAAAAGTGTAACAAAGAAATACCCGTTGGAGCACCGTTCTACGAAGTGGAGCAGGAGCCCAAGTGCTTGGACTGTTGCATTGTACGTAATTTTCATTCATAACTTTTTGCTGTTTGCTATCAAGCGTGGTGGGAATAGAATTTGGGCAAAGGGAAATGTTGGGAGTACTTTTGTGAAAACATGCGGGCAGTGGCTTTAGTATGGGGACACAATCTTACCTTACTATCTTACTATTACTTCACGTGGCAGAGAGTTGTATGGGCACAGCAGAATAGAATGCTGATATGCGTGTAAAGAGCTGATTTACAGAATTGTTTTCGAGAACGTTATCCTTGTCCTCTTTTTCAGGCTGATGGCGCTAAACCTTCCCCAGTGACGGAATCGAAACCGGTTTGTGCAACATTTGGTTTTCTCAATAAGTGAGAGGTAGAAAGTTGTCCGAGTAGTGACTTTTCTGCACTAACCATATAATAGTCTTCTCAGTTACCTTGCATCACTATCGGGCGATAATATAATAAAAGCAGGTGCTAAGAAAGGGATCAACTCTAAGATATCACTGCTTTCTGGGTATTAATATAGGGATACACAACTTGGTATAGGTAGAGCTCATGATGAACGGTCTTCGGTACTTTCTATAGTCTTCG